GCTCTTTGCAGTGGCCAGGGACTCAAATGGAGGAAGAAAAAGCACCTCCTCCACATCCGCTGTTAGATGGATCACAGAGGACGAGAGCGATTCTCAACAGTTATTATCACTGTTTATCCTAAGTCCTCCTCACTGATGATTTCTCTAGTCCCCACATTTAGTTTCAGTCTAAATATATAAAAAGTCAATATATAAAACTCAACTTAATTTCACTGGATTTTCCCTATATCTTGGCTACAATCTGGCTGAAATACTTTACATGTTTTTTTGTTGAAATGTGATAAAAAAAGATAATGTGAGAACAGGTACAAGATGCCAGTATCAGCAGAGATGGCTACAGTATGAGTTCCTCTTCACAGCTAAAGTAGAATCTTGTACTCGGAGTATGAGAAACAATTTCTCTCAAACATAAAACTCTCAAGTGCATATATGATGACCTAACAGGGCGACTTGGCGGCAGTGCTTGAGTATGCATCTGGGAAAGGGGAGGAATTCGACCCCTGACACGGTCCAACAAATGTTACTGCATTTATTTTTTGGCTGATAGTTTAATGTTCTTTTCCCAAAGACTTCTATTTTTTGGGAGGGTTAAAGCTGAAGAATAAGTAGTCCGGTGTTCCCCTCTATTAGCAGTGCAAGGATAAACTATCTGTCCTGTGAAAAAAGGCCATTTAGGGGCACAGAGGGAAGTTCCCTGCATCAAGTAGTGTAAGACTGGCAGACACAAGCAGGTGGACGGACTGACAACAGATGGTCAGACATTTACATACACCAAAAAATTATATCTGTATAGTTTATTGTCAAACTGTCGAGACAGTGTTAATCCGTAAAGAACTATAAAATAAGACCGAGTTTTACTGCACTGCAGGACTGAGTCTCTGTGTGTGCCTGTGTCTCTGTATGTTACCATACTGGGAGATGTCTCTTTTCAGGAAAATAGGTTTAAGAGTTAACATCAGCATAAGGAATTAACTTAATAACTGCAAAAGTAAACATTAAGCTGGGGAATTCTGTAATTGAGCTGAAACTAAAGTGATCTCCACATCGATTAGGACTGAAGAACAAAACAAAATCCTGCACTGACTACTTGAAAACAAAGCTGTGGTACATGCACATAACTAGAACCAAGACTACAAACAGATCAATACAACCCACAACCTAAGATTAAGAGTAATGGATTCCTCTTGGAGCTGAGCATCTGAAGTCAAGCCCAGGACCACTAATCATTGTTCAAATAGTCAAATGATCAACTCAGAGAGCAAACATAACTGAAATAAAGCACAAAAACTATGGTAATTGCTCTCTTTTGTTTTTTAGTGCAGTATTCAAAAAATCACAGGCTGATATGCACGAGTATGCATGAGTCTTTGTGAGCTCATCTTGAGTCGAGGGGAGGGGAGAGCCATATTGACAACATTGGAAAATTCTTATTGATTATTCTTCTTTTCTCTGAGCACCGGCTTGTTAAAAAAGACCCCTCTTGGAAACACGATCAATTAGTGAGATAGTGCTTGCCATTGATCACCCCCCTATCTCCCCCCACCTCACAAGGCCTTAATATGGAGCCCTCCACACACTCCTTATGACCAACTATTGATCCCAGCTTCTTAGCCAAATATAAAAGCATGCACACTCACACTGAGCACCGACCCCTTACATACAAACCACACAGTCTAATACTAATACTGACATCTGCTTGTCTCCATTGTAAACCCATGGTTCGCTCATAAATACAGAGGCCAGCTTTGGCCCAGAACCAATATAGTTTCTCAGAGGTCAGGGGTCAGCATGGCAATAATGCCGCCATTAACAGATCCGCCTGGGTTAAAACTTCTCAGAGGAGAAAAGCTTTACGGTGTGAATGCAACAAAGATTGGTGGAAAATATTGGTTTTATACATAGGACCTATTTTTCATTTAAGTTGGTGCTAGGTTTTAGCATGGGCCAAGTAGAACCCAATCAATTTGAGAGGAGATCCACACCAGGGACACATTATTTTTCATCTATTTTCCACTATGTTTCAGTAAATTAAAAAGTATGTTGCTGATTTAGTCATCAAACTTAGTTTAAGCTGAAACATTTCATTTGGAGAGGCAAAACCAGCTTTTTTGGCTTAATACAAATAAAATACACAATCAATCAAAATAGTCATTAAATGATCCAATAATCAAAAAAAATGTATCCACTAATTGGTTCTGCAATAAAATAAATATCTCAGAGCTGCCATAAAAAACTAAAATATCAGAGCTAAAAATAAATATTTTACTCCAAACTAGAAAATTCATAAAAGCTTTGACTGCATGAGTTTGAGGAGTTAGTGAAGATTTATGGTGATGACCCCAGAGGAATCAATCTATCTATCTGTCTATTGATCGATCATCAAACCAATCAGTGAACATGTCAGTCCATCAGCCAAAGATAAGACACTCTGCAAACAGAGAAGTCGCATCAGGCCTGTGAGCGTAGCAGTTCAACAATGTTAAGATTGGATGATTGTAAAACTATTAGACACAGCAGGCAGCGGGGCATTAGATAATTCTTCCCTATTGGCAACTTAAGAGTCATCTCTTTGTCAACGACTGCCCTTGCCCTCTTCATCCCTCGGTCCCTCCACCCTCAATCCCTTCACCCCTCCCTATGGATCAGCTGTGATCTCCTCTCTCTCCTTTCACTCAAATCAGGATTAGGGAGAAGAGGAGGTGGAGGGGTGCAGCAGCAGGAGGAGGAGAAGGGGGGGGGGAGAAAACTGAAACAATATGGAAAGGAGATTAGAAAAGAGGGGGTTCGGGCCGTTTGGGGAATTGCAAACTCCCTTGTGCTTGGGTAGGTGTCCTAATGACACCGCCTAATTATGGCAAAATTAGACAGGCTAAAGGGAGGGGGGTGGTTGTGGTGGAGGAGAACGTAACGTGAGGGGAAAAGAAGAGGAGCGGGGGAATTAAGCAATGGAGAGTGAAGAAGTAAGCGCACAGTGGTGCATGTGAGAGAACAAGAGGGGTGTGCAGAAGAACGGATATAGAGGTAAGGCAAGGAGGAAGGGAACGGGGTTGAGTGAAAAGAAAGAAGAGAAAAGGGGTAGAAAGCAGTGGCTGGGCGAGAGCAGCGAGTGGGCCCCAGCACGCTGCATGTTAATTGGAGAACAGGTGTTGGGGCTGGGAGCAGGAGGCTGATTACTGGAGCCACAGAAACAGACCTACACACACACACACACACACACACACACACACACACACACACACACACACACACACACACACACACACACACACATACACACACATGAATAATTTAAAACCCATGCAGTGACTAGGGAAAAAAGGTCAAAGCAGGGGTCACAAAGACACACAGACAATCGGACTATACATCCATATACATCCATAAATAAACATGCAGTGCTCGTCTCACACACATGAGAATATACATCCGTTTGTGTGCACTCAAACAGCATATACATGCTCTGAACACACACACACACACACACACACACACACACACACACACACACACACACACACACACACACACACACACACACACACACACACACACACACACATCTGTCGATTTGTTTCACTTTTTCAGTGTGTGGAGTACATGCATACAGTTAAAAGAGAGGGTGCACATAAGTTGGGATAAAAGGGCACAAAAGCCACGTCAGAGTTCCATTGGCTTATCAGAAATTAACTGGCTGCTTATAGGCTGCTCCCTGAGGAGAGGATTTCACAGGCCAGTCAAGAGAGAGAGCCCCCATCAAGACGGGATATGCCCAGTGTGATTAGAGAGTACAGTAGGTCGATGATTCCATTTAAATCAATCCTCACACTAGCCTGCACACACACACACAGAGTCAACGAGTTATAGATAGCGCTTTCTTCAACACCCCACCGTCAAACAACTTAGAAACTAATTTTAAAATGTAGCCATGTAAGGATGAAGTACAAAAGGTTTGCAGAGGGGGTTATTGGGAGTGTAATGTGCTACAGTAAATGAGAAAAGCAGCTGCTCCAAGATATTCTGGGAAAATTCAAAAGACAACAGCTCGATTTTTTCCGTTATATGAAAAACTATCTTCAGCAGAGATCCTTTGAGACACACTGTCAACAGCCAGCCAGCTTGAACTGAGGAGGGGGAAGAAAAGGGTCCTTGACGTATATGAAGTGAGTGTTTTCTAGACAGACGATTGTAGGGAAGAAGCGATAGAAATACGAAGGAAAAGAGATGAAGGTTGCGTTTATGACATCACATAGAAAGTATTTCACATGAGGTGTGCTTATGAGCATTCATCACACTGGTTAAGGGTAGGCCGACACGGGACCTCTGAAATCCCTCGGACGTGAAGGCCCTCACACACGCTGATTACTGCGGGGGTCATCTGCCTTTAAGCCTGATAACTGGCTGTCATGGTGAACATTGACTACATATGTGCGCCAGTCTGGTGGTCCACATGATCCACATGCTTCTGATGAAAAGAAATCTGCGCTTAGGCCGGTTTCAGGTGCAATGTCAGCAGTTAAAGGTAATGAATGATCGAACTGAAACAGCAGGTGAAGAGAGATCAACAGATAAACACAAAGCTGAAGAGAGGGAGACACATGGGAGACAGACATGGACGCAGATACTTTCCTTGCATTCATGCAGTGTAAACTGACATGGCAGAAACACTTGTTGTAAATATTAATTTCAAGGTGATGCATGCATGCATATATTAATATGGATATGTGAAATACACGCAGAAACATTAACACCACTACATACATATATCCAGCCCACACATCTGTACATGCATGTGCTTTATAGCCACTCCTCTCACTGGTTTGTGTAAATGCAACAGCTGATTGGTGGAGTCTCATTTCAACAACCTTCACATCAAGCTGTGATCTCTCTTGTTCTCCTTCATCCTGCTTCAATGTAATGGTGTAGGTGCATATATACAAAGAAGGGTGACCTGAGCATTCAGTATGAAGAGGTGCTTGTTATGGGACGTGGTTTGATCTCATTACCTGTCAATGATGACTGGGTCAGAGGGCGTCTCGTTTCGGTTGCCACAACTTTTCTTCTCACAACAGCGGCTGAGTAGGGAGACAGAAAGGAGGGAAAAGTCAGTTGAGGAAAAAAAAAACAAATTAAACAGAAGGAGCCATCATTTGTCTGGCCCTTCCACATCCACAGGCCCAGACTACTTTGCCCCGCAGTCGGCCAAGATCCAGGAGCAAACAAAAGAGGCATGAGAGGGGAGGGGGAGAATAGACAAAAGAATAAAAGAGGAAGAAAAGGTACAACAACACACCCTACAAACAGTGAGAGACCATTCAAAAGTGAAAAGCCAGCCAGGCAATCTGTCACATTGATTTGGAAATCAAACTCAACCCCCACGCAGCCTCGCACACACACACACACACACACACACACACACACACACACACACACACACACACA